TGGGGGGGGGGGTCAAAAATTACAAAATCACACGTGTAAGGTGTCTTCTTTCTTCTTGGACATGCAGTATCTTACCTGTTGTGATCTAGAAAAAGTTCTTGCACTGTACTTCTGACTAGAAACGCCCGCAGGGGTACTGCCGCTGACGCATTGAGAGCGTTCCACGCTAGATCTAGATGCTGGAAAGACTTCTCACGCTGCTGGATTGCCCTCAAGAGAACCCGCAAACCTTTGGGTACGTCTTCGTACAGATTGTTTCTCGACAGTCCGAGACTTTCTATTGTCTGGTTCTCCCGTAGGGCCTTCCCCAGGGCTGCCGCCGCCGCGGGTCCCAGGTTGTTGTTGCTCAAATCCAGTTCGCGCAGCTCGTCGTTTTGCGCCAGCGCCTCCTAGCAAAGGCAGCCGCAGTAGCCATCCGACTGATTCAGGAGAATGTTTTCGTATGACAAGTAGGCAGACGGACAGAGAGACAGAGACAGGCACAAACGCACTGTAGAATCAACCGGGTGGAGGCCCAAAGGAAACGTGTACACTTCCAGGTGGCTGATACGCCGCTCACTTTCGTAGTCATACTGTACCGCATGGACGCGTGCGGACGGGTTGCCCAATCGTACGGGGCCTTAACGAGCCGTGGGCAGCAGGGACAGGCAAACCCGCCTTGGTGCGGTACAGTATAACTACGAAAGTGCGCGGCGTGTCAACCGCCTGGTACATACAACTCACGAAATCGACATGGATTTCAGTGACCTGTCATGACCAAAACTTCGTTGGTCATTAAAATACCACAAGGAGGTCATCATGAGAAAAACACACGTTTACCTTTGGGAGGTTTTCAGGCCGCATTTTTTGCCGCCTCATTTGGGATAAGCATAGATGTCTGTAGCAGTGTAGGTAGCCAAACCTTTGGCTGCAGCCGTCGCCAGCACCTCACCTGCATTGCTTTGACGCCGTCATCGCCGAGCTCGTTGTCGGCCAGGTCCAGCTCCTGCAGGCTGTGGTTGAGCTCCACGCCCTCGGCCAGCATCGCGGCGGCGCGCGCGCTGAGCTTGCAGCCCCGCATGGCGAGGCGCCGCAGCGCGACATTCTCGCGGAGCAGCAGCTCGGCCAGGTAGTATGCCGCCTCGTCGCTCAGCCAGTTTCCCGAGAGGTCCAGCGTGTGCACGCTGGGGTTGTACATGAGGGCCTGGGCGATGGCTCGCACCGTACGCGGGTTCACGCCGTAGAACTGCAATCCGGCCAGGGTAGGGTGTCGTATCCATATCCAAGTGTACGTACAGAGCGCGGTCTGGGTTTGGCGGCCACTTGCCAGCTCGACAGACTAACCCGCAGGTCGACCAGCCCTTCGTTAAGCTGCTGCAGGAAGCGGCTGATCGGGACGAGACCCATGGAGCGGCACAGGTCGTTGTAGGTGGTCAGCCCGGTCTCGTCGAATGAGGGCGGTGGCTCTATCTCCGCAACCCATCAACACCATGAACATGGTCTCCATCATCCACTACCGCCATTCCTCCCGACTCGTGAGTCACTCACCTCTGATGTTCAAGGCGTTCTCCAGGCCCGGGTCACTCAACTCGAGGAACCCGAACTCGTCGTACGTTATGACGTCCTCGACCTCCTCGTCTCTGCCTCACCGGAAAAGAGCGCGTGTCATTACACACATACACACTCACAGTGCCCTACGACGCGCCCTAAACCCTAGGACGCACCACGCGAGCCCCCCCCCCTTTCCCCCTACTCCTGCTTTCCTTCAAACCAACACGTAGCGTAGCGCCCCCCGCGCATGGGTGGCTGTAGCTGCTGAGCACCACGTAGGCCCTGGGCCCGTACGCACGGCGCACGTTTGTCGACACACGCACGCTACATGCTACAGCTGGGGCGCTCCGGGCGCTCTCTCCCTCGCCCCGACCACTTCACTCTAAGACCCCTCCCCCTTCTATTCTCCACTACTTTCAGAAAAAAATGTAATTGCAATATTTGTTGACAACAGGGTGTTGAATTTTACCCGCATAGCTTACCCATGGGATAAGGTGACGCCGACGCCACCCGTCGTGGGTTTTGTAGGAATCCGCACCGTACCCACGTCCACCCGGCGAGATGAAACGTCGTGAAGCGAAGGGGATTAGGGAGAAGGTGCATCACGTCCGTCATTTGCCGTTTCGACCCTACCAAGTAAGCCCATGTAAGCTCTCAGGGCGCCTAGTAGGTAGGCAACATCTTGCCTGCGGTACATGCGTGTACTGCGGGGTGGCCTTCCCTGATTCTCGCAGGGGTTGAGCTCCCGTAATTTGCCTAACGACTCTGATAAAAGCGGACGCGTGCTTTCTGGACAATCCATAAGTCGACTAACTACTCTGACCTCTTTTGTGTGCTGTCATTTGGTGCATCGGAAGTTCCTAAAGTCGTCATGAGATGTCAACCAATGTACCTACAATTAACTTCCCCCAGCTTTCGAAGCAATGTAAGTCGACTTGTCAACCTCTGCCCCCCATGTGTCAGTCCCTACTCGTGGGGAGCCGGCGCTCGAGTTATGAATGTGCACCACCCATTGAATCGATCATTGAGCCGGCCTATAGTTTGCGGGCGTGGTGGGACTTCCCCCGCGCCTCCCCGTCCCGAGCGTACTGCAGCGCCCCCCC